CTGCCCGCGTGTTCCGCTGCTTTGCTCCCTGTCCCTCTGGTCTGCAGACCAGGGCGACAGGGAGCAAAGCAGAGCACAGCCGCGGAGCACGCGTCTGGGCTGCCCGCTGCCCGCGTGTTCCGCCACTTTGCTTCCTCTCCCTGGTCTGCTGGAGACAAGGGAGAGGGCCCCGTCCGTAAGTGCGGATCCGACATAAGTGGGATCTGCGTAACTCGGGGACTGCCTGTACTTCATTACTACAGCTGAATAAGGTTTGAAATACAGAACTGTGGAATCTCACAGTAAAGAGTTTAATTTTAGTCTTACTGTTTTCAAAGAAAAAAAGTTAAATGGTGATAATATAATATTAAGGTTAAAATTGTGAACACCCTAAAGAGAGAAAACACAAGAGTTAAAGCTCTGCTTGTACCACTGGTTCACATAGCACTTGTGGAGTATTTTATAATGTTAATTATGTTGCTAGAGTCAACATTAATACACACAGAACCAGTTCAGTCATTTACTACTGCTATGCAACTCTCACTGCAGTCTGGAAAAACTGTATGAATTCATCTGCACTCAGAAGGATACTATAAAGCTAAAAGGAGAGAAGAAGCTTGAGCCTTACTGTATTAATCTTTACATTACATTAGAACGTGCTTTTCATGAGCCCGATGGCTGAAAAAAATGAGGAGTATAGGTTCTTTCGAAAAAGGTTTTTTTTTCCGAAATAACCCCATCTAGATTGCGGTTTCTTTTTCAAAAAACTTTTTCAAAAAAGCACTCGTGTGATTACGCAAAGGAAGCGTAAGATTTGTAAATCCACGCTTCATTTAAATTTTTGATCATGCTCATTTAAATTCCTCTTTCAGAAGAACAATGAGACTAAAATAAACTCGCCTGTGTGTTAACCTAATGGTTCAGATTCTACAAATACGTTAGCTCAACAGGAAAGCTAATCAGAGCTGTCTTTATGCACAATAACTTGTATTCTAATAGTGCATGGTTATATTTAAAGAGTATTAGTAAACTTACTGTGAATGTGAATATAGGGAGGTGCCTGCCAGCACCCATTATAATTAAACCACTATTTGTGGCATTTCTTCAGGAATGTCTCTTAGAGGAGGATGGCTTCCGGACTAAGGCATTTGATGGGAGGCAGGAAGATCGAGCTCTGCCACAGATTCTCTTGGGCAAGTCATTCAATGATATTTTCTAGAAATGGCCACTGATTCTTGGAGACAACTTTGAACCTGCTGGACACCTTGTCAAGTTCCCACTCGTATGGACAGGATCAGTAGGCATGCTTCTCCTCTGAAAGTCAGGCTGAAAGCAACTCAAGTTGGGCATCTGAAAGTTAGCATTAATTTTTGAAGATATTGGTCTGTCTTACTGCTCAACTCCAAGTCGATAAAAATGGTGAGAGTTATGTTTCATAACTCCCCAGGTGGTTACAGGGATAAATTAATTATTTGCCAAGTACCCAAATATTGGATGATGGTGGCTGCAGAAAGGCTTATAAATAAGACATGCTATCTTTCAATTTAACTCAATACTTAGCATCAGAAAACACATGCCTGAATTGTCAGCTTGTTGGGGGGAGGGGAGGAGGGAAGTAGAGAGAGTTTCTGCTTTACAGGCAGTCCCCGAGTTACGTGGATCCGACTTATGTTGGATCCGCAGTTACGAACCGGGTTTGCTGCCGGTCTCCCTGGTCGCGGTCCCGCTGCCGGCATCCTCAGAGGGTTTGCTCCCCGTCTCCCTGGTCTGCAGACCAGGGAGACAGGGAGCAAAGCCGGGGAGCATGCGGGCAGCGGACAGCCCAGACGCACTGCGGCTGTCCCGCTGCCGGCATCCTCAGAGGGTTTGCTCCCCGTCTCCCTGGTCTGCAGACCAGGGAGACAGGGAGCAAAGCCGGGGAGCATGCGGGCAGCGGACAGCCCAGACGCACTGCGGCTGTCCCGCTGCCGGCATCCTCAGAGGGTTTGCTCCCCGTCTCCCTGGTCTGCAGACCAGGGAGACAGGGAGCAAAGCCGGGGAGCATGCGGGCAGCGGACAGCCCAGACGCACTGCGGCTGTCCCGCTGCCGGCATCCTCAGAGGGTTTGCTCCCCGTCTCCCTGGTCTGCAGACCAGGGAGACAGGGAGCAAAGCCGGGGAGCATGCGGGCAGCGGACAGCCCAGACGCACTGCGGCTGTCCCGCTGCCGGCATCCTCAGAGGGTTTGCTCCCCGTCTCCCTGGTCTGCAGACCAGGGAGACAGGGAGCAAAGCCGGGGAGCATGCGGGCAGCGGACAGCCCAGACGCACTGCGGCTGTCCCGCTGCCGGCATCCTCAGAGGGTTTGCTCCCCGTCTCCCTGGTCTGCAGACCAGGGAGACAGGGAGCAAAGCCGGGGAGCATGCGGGCAGCGGACAGCCCAGACGCACTGCGGCTGTCCCGCTGCCGGCATCCTCAGAGGGTTTGCTCCCCGTCTCCCTGGTCTGCAGACCAGGGAGACAGGGAGCAAAGCCGGGGAGCATGCGGGCAGCGGACAGCCCAGACGCACTGCGGCTGTCCCGCTGCCGGCATCCTCAGAGGGTTTGCTCCCCGTCTCCCTGGTCTGCAGACCAGGGAGACGGGGAGCAAACCCTCTGAGGATGCCGGCAGCGGGACCGCGACCAGGGAGACCGGCAGCAAACCCGGTTCGTAACTGCGGATCCAACATAAGTCGGATCCACGTAACTCGGGGACTGCCTGTACTTGTGAAATCAGAAAAATATTGACAATTGTTGAGGCAGCAATGTCCAAGTAATAGTTACCGTTTTTATTCATGGCACCTCATAGCACTCACTGAGACAAGAGACACCCAGCTCCCACAAAGGAGGTGGAAGATAGAGGAGGGGCAGTAAACTCATGGGAGAAGAGGCACTCAGTGAGGGTAGGGTAAGCACCGCTCCTGGAAACTAAGGGCAATCAAATGGATAGAAACTGACACTGAGCTCCCTCCTGATTACTTTTTTACAGAAGGGCATGTCAGGCTACAATGCCACTAAACTCAGCTGTCCTCCCATCATCATGGAACTGCTGGGAGTACATCATCTACTGCTAGGAATGAAACTGACATGTATTTTTTGCTTTGCCCAGTCTCATCTCTTACTAACGGGAGGAGGAAGAACATGAAATCTGAGAGAGTATATCTCTGCTGCCCAACCTAGCTGAATTAGTTCACTCCTGACAACAGATCAAACAATTATTGCAAAGACCACTGAGGACATGACTGACAAGGTGCGTACACCTCAACAGGGAGAAAAGGAAGGAGCTCAAGGCTGTTGCTTTGCTCAGGTGCCTCAGAGGAGATTTCCAAATCACACTTACCTCCTCTTAAAAGCTAAAAGCCAGGTGAGTGCAATGAGAAAGGGGCAATAAAATCATGTTTAATGTGTGTATCCAGACTATAAATTGTCTGTGGGCTGGGTGTTCATCCCCTTGTTTGTACAATGCCAAACATGTTACTGATGATCAAACAAACAGCGGCAAACAACGCTATGGTAAAAATCTTGTGAGTTTTTGAAGTCTTGAAGTCAGCTATAATTTGAAGCTCTGATGCCAGACATTTTATAACACTTCTAATGAACTATACTTCTCCACTTCGGAGATACCTTCATAGAATAACATATCAGAAGCTTTTACCCCCTTTCTCATACCTGTGAAGATCTGTTTTTGTATGCACACAAAAATAACAGAGGCAACTCACCGTGCTGAAGTGTTGCTCAAAAGAACAGGAGCTATAATAGAAGCTGATCCTTGGACAGATAGACAAGAGACATTTAGGCCCCGGGTTTCCTCATAACCCCAGAACCATCCCCTGTAGGATTCAAAAGAGTCTACAATTAATAGGCCACCATGCACAAGTGCTCCTTAAAAAAAAAAAAAAAAGGATTGTATGCAATCATCTTATAATGATTGATTTACATTTAGGGCATTGATTTACATTTAGGGCATTTACATTCAGGATAGAATAGTGATCGAAATGTAGCCGTGTTAGTCTGGTGTAGCTGAAACAAAAAACAGGACTATGTAGCACTTTAAAGTCTAACAAGATGGTTTATTAGATGATGAGCTTTCGTGGGCCAGACCCACTTCCTCAGATCAAATAGTGGAAGAAAATTGTCACAACCATATACCAAAGGATACAATTTAAAAAAAATGAACACATATGAAAAGGACAAATCACATTTCAGAACAGGAGGGGGGGGGGAGAGGTAAATGTCTGTGAGCTAATGATATTAGAGGTGATAAGGGGAAGCTATCTTTGTAATGGGTAAGATAGTTGGCGTCTTTGTTTAGACCGACGCGTAGAGTGTCGAATTTTAGCATGAATGACAGTTCAGAGGATTCCCTTTCAAGTGCAGATTTAAAAGGCTTCTGCAGCAGGATGCAGGTAATTAAGTCGTTGAGACAGTGTCCTTTCTGGTTGAAATGGCAAGAAACTGTTTTTTCTTTGTGATCCTGTCTAATATCTGTTTTGTGGGCATTGATCCTTTGGCGAAGTGTCTGTGACGTTTGTCCAATGTACATACCAGACGGACACTTTCGGCACGATAGCATAAATTATATGTCTGGATGCGCAGGAATATGTTGTTGGGATTTAAAAAAAATCAAGAGAAAATGCAACAACTTTTTTCATGATCAAAAGTAACTATTTGTAGAAATAAAGTTGATCTTGGCTAATAGCAATTGATGGACATCTGGAAGAATTTATCTAATTAATTTAGATAAATTAATAGTTTTGCCCTTCACAATATTCTCTGGCAAAGAGTTCCACAGGTTGACTGTGCATCATGTTAAGAACTTGATTGTTTTAATGCTGCTGCCTTTTAATTTCATCGGATGAGCCCTGATTCTTGTGTTCTGTGAAGGGGTAACTATTGCCTTATATATTAAAAATGAATACATTTGGACTGAGGTGAAGATGGATGTAAAACACAGACTTGTTGAGAATCTCTGGGTTAAAAGGAATAAAAAATAAGGATGATGTCATGCTGGGGTCTACTACAGACCACCTACTGAGGCAGAAGAAGTGGATGAGGCTTTTTTTTTAAACTAACAATTTGGTGGTGATGGGGGACTTGAACTATTGAGACATAAGTTGAGAAACTAACACAGCAAGGCACAAATTATCCAACAAGTTCTTGGACTGCATTGGAGACAATCTTTTATTTCAGAAGGTTGAGAAAGCTATTGGGGGGGAAGCTGTTCATGATTTGATTTTAACAAATAGGGAGAAACAGGTGGAAAATTTGCAAGTGGAAGGCAGCTTGGGAGAAAGTGACGATGAAATCATAGAATTCATGATTCTAAGGAAGGGTAAAAGGGAGAACAGCAAAATAGAGACAATGGATTTCAAGAAGGCAGATTGTAGTAAATTCAGAGAGCTGGAAGATAAGGTCCCATGGAAATCAAGACTAGGAGGAAAAACAACTGAAGAGAGTTGGCAGTTTTTTAGAGAGACATTATTAAGGGCCCAAAAGCAAACTCTTCCACTGCATAGGAAAAATAAAAAGCACTAGACAACGTAGTATGGGAAGGAGGTAGACAGCCCTTGGTGCAGAAAGAACAGGTTAGGAACTATTTAGAAAAGCTAAACATACACAAATCCATGGGTTCAGATTTAACGCATCCGAGGGTACTGAGGGAGCTGGCAAATATCATTGCAGAGCCTTTGGCCATTATCTTTGAAAACTCGTAAAGATCGAGAGATCCCGGATGACTGGAAAAAGGCAAACATAGTGCCCGTCTTTAAAAAAGGGAAGGAGGACAATCCAGGGAACTACAGACCAGTCAGCCTTACCTCTGTCCCCAGAAAAATCATGGAGGGGATCCTCAAGGAATCACTTGTAAGAGGGGAAAGTGATCAGGAACAGTCAACATGGATTCACCAAGGGCAAGTCGTGCCTGACCAATCTGATTAGCTTCTATGATGAGGTAACTGGCTCTGTGGACATGGGAAAGTCAGTGGATGTGATATACCTTGACTTCAGCAAAGCTTTTGATATGGTCTCCCACAATATTTTTGCCAGCAAGTTAGGGAAGTATGGATTGGATGAATGGACTAAGATGGATAGAAAGCTGGCTAGACTGTCAGGCAGTGATCAACGGCTCGATGTCCGGTCGGCGGTTGGCTTCTAGCGGAGTGCCCCAAAGATCAGTTCTAGGACCGGTTTTGTTCAACGTCTTTATTAATGACCTGGAGGAGGGGATGGATTGCACTCTCAGCATGTTTGAATTTGACACTAAGCTAGGTGGAGAGGTAGATATGCTGGAGGGCAGGGATAGGGTCCAGAGTGACCTGGACAGATTAGAGGATCAGGCCAAAAGAAATCTGATGAGGTTCAATAAAGACAAGTGTAGAGTCCTGCACTTGGGACGGAAGAATCCCAAGCACTGTTACAGGCTGGAGACCAACTGGCTAAGTAGCAGTTCTGCAGAAAAGGACCTGGGGATTACAGTGGATGAGACGCTGGATGTGAGTTAACAGTGTGTCTTTGTAGCCAAGAAGGCTAATGGCATATTGGGATGCATTAGGAGGAGCATTGCCAGCAGATCTAGAGAAGTTATTATTCCCCTTTATTTGGCTCTGATGAGGCCACATCTGGAGTACTGTGTCCAGTTCTGGGCCCCCGCTATAGAAAGGATGTGGACGCATTGGAGGGGGGGCAGTGGCAGGGAACCAAAATGATTAGGGGCTGGAGCACGTGACCTGAAGAGAGGCTGAGCGATTTAGGTTTGTTTAGTCTGCAGAAGAGAAGAATGAGAGGGGACTGGATAGCAGCCTTCAACTTCCTGAAGGGAGGTTGCAAAGAGGATGGAGAGAGGCTGTTCACAGTAGTGATGGATGGCAGAACAAGGAGCAAAGGTCTCAAGTTACAGCGGGGGAGGTTTAGGTTGGATATTAGGAAAAACTATTTCACTAGGATGGTGGTGAATTACTGGCATGGGTTACCTAGGGAGGGGGTGGAATCTCCATCTCTAGAGGTTTTTAAGTCTCGGCTTGACAAAGCAGTGGCTGAGTTGATTCAGTTAGGACTGGTCCTGCCTTGGGCAGGGGGCTGGACTTGATGATATCCTGAGGTCTTGTCCAGCTCTATGATTCTATGGCAGGAGACTACCTTGGCTCAACCTGGGAGATATTACATGATCTAAAAATCAAAAAGGAGTTGTATAAAAAGTGAAAATTAGGTCAGATTACTAAGGATGAATATAAGCAAACAACACAGGAATCCAGGGGCAAGATAAGAAAGGCAAAGCCACACACACACACACACACACACACACACACACACGCTAAATCTAGCAAGAGACAAAGGGTAATAACATGGCTTGCAAACAGTAATAGCTAACAGGGAGTTTGGAGAGGGAGATCTCTTGTGATTTGGAATTCTTTTATTTTGTTATAGAATATGTGAAGTCTTTTTCTTTCTTTTTCTTTTTTTTTTTTTTTTGGCAGTGTTTTAGAGCACTTTGCTGCAAGGGACCACCACCTCCACGACCTGAATATGACTTGGTTTGCATAGGTCTCACTGGTTCTGGCAAGACAAGTCTACTGTCACAGCTTTGCAGTGAAAGCCCAGAAAATATAGTGCATATAAGCCTGTGACTCAGCGAGCAGGAAGAGCTAACAGGGAGTTTGGAGGGGGAGGTTAGAGGGCACTAGTGACTTCTGACCGTCTTTAAAACATAACTCTATATTCCAGAGGTTTAAAAAGAATCCCAGTTTATACTTAAACTTATTCATTAGAAAAATGGAGACAAAAGCCCAGCAGCAGAGTGGGGGCTATCCTGTTTATTGCGTTGAGTGTAACATGTATGATTACCTGCCTTGTGGGTGGGTGGCGTATGTGTGCACCCGTTGCAAGGAGCTCCTGACCCTCAGAGACCGAGTT